TATCTATCTATCTATCTATCTATCTATCTATCTATCTATCTATCTATCATCTATCTATCTATCTATCTATCTATCTATCATCTATCTTTTAATAACTTAAAGATTTGTAGAATTTAAGTCAATCAAGTCAATTTTTGAATAAAGCACTTGTAATATCAAATATGGAGACCAGAACACTCCCCCCTCCAGACCTGGTACCTATATCAGGACACAGAGGTCTGTAACTGATAATTAGATCAGTTTAGCTGCACTTATTGCCTGTGGAATCCAGCAGTTCAAGTCCTCTATCATCCAGTGGACTGGTGGCAGGGACTCCCCCTCCCCAGGTCCCCCCCAAAAGGGAAATCTTGTTGGGTAACTTTCCTTACAGACAGTAACAATTACTCAGTCAATTTAACCACGCAGCCTTTAAAATGCTGGCTGCCTTGTGGCAGAATGAAAACGAAAGCAGCTATCACCGCCCGGCCTGCTAAAAGCAAAACCGTTCAGCAGGAAGGCGCAGGGGCTAATTCCCTGCCCTGAGTTGTTCTGTGGGGAAAGCCTCATAATAAAAAGGAAAAAAGGCTGCACTTTTAAATGGAAGTTTAACCCTCGAAGGGACAGAGCGCTTACTCAGCCGGCTGGGAGATCGGAGAGATAAACCTCCTTGTTTAGAAGTTTAAGGCAGCATGTCTCTGAAAGGAGAGGCTTTTAGCCTCAGGGCAGATTGGAAAGATAAGCCTCCCTGTTTATGAGGCTTTAGCCTCAGGAGGCTGGAACATCAAAACAAAACAAAACAAAACAAAAAACCGAACGAAAATCAGCTAAATCGCCAGTATTCTGTTCTTACCAGGAAAACAATAACACAACCTGTCTGAAGAAAGGCTGAGCTAAAACTGGGGGTGCTAAGGAGGAGTCTCGTGGTGGAGAAGGAGTGTCCTCAAGTTTAAGCCCACCCTTCCTAGAAGGGACTGAAGCACCTTCCCATCACTGGATGCTCTGAGAGAGCTCATGGGAGAAACAAGGGAAATATGTGCTCTTTTAAACCAATGTTTCACTGAAAAATCAATCTGAAATGATTCAGAAGTGCTTTGAATGTAGACAAGCACAACACTTCTCAAGTACTCATTACAGCAGTCTGATCAGAAAGATGCTGCTGCTTTAAGGATTTCCGTGTAAATCTTAAAGTACCAATGCCTTTTTTTCAGGTTGGCTCACTACTGACTCATTCTGGGTCAAATAGAAGACATTAAACTAATTGTCAATTTTCTTAACACTCACCAAAGAAACTGAAAAAAAAAACCCAATGCCAATTATGTCTGTGTTAATGAAACAAGCAAAAACTATATCTAGTTTGAATAATGTACCATTTTAATAAAATACCAACTAACCTTGTTTTTGTTCACAGTTTACAGCACAGCCTAAAATAAGCTGAAGCATTCTTCCAAGTTCTGCTGCATCAGAGTGCTCCCCAATCAAGTTAACATCAGGAAGGATAAAATCATTAATCTGTTGCCCCAAAATCTGTGCAAGGATAAAAATATATTAACATATTTCCAGGTTTCAGGGTCAAAGTAAACAGAATTGCAGAATCAGGAATCTAATGAGAGGAAACTGTATTATTCACTCTGTAGAGTAACTACCAGGCAGATGCATAAATCATTCCTTCCTGAATTCTTCAAATCCAGTTTGCTAAGCAACTAACAGAAAGCTTTTGTTTCTGTGCCTCTGACATATCTATCTCCTATTAATAAAATCTTTATCCCCATACCAGACATCTAGCAAAACTCTCCAGTTAAGGAGTCAAAATGGTCGGGTTGTTCTTAAGTGGCTCAAATCTAGAAGTTAGCTTATCTTTATAGTACATAGTTGATGCTTCATGCTGTTGACTATTCATTGCATAAAATGCTTATTCAGGCCCATTAATGTATAGAGGTTTGGCTGAGACACATTTCCATAAGGGGACTAAGTACTATTGCATAAAAGTTGGCAGTAACACCAAATCCTTTTGCTTGTAATTCAAACAAGCAACATTCTTTAGGTGTAAACCTGATTCAAATAATCTCTTTTAACATAAATACTAAAATATTTTTCAAACAAATACAATCAAGATAAAGATTTTCTAGAATCATCTCTCTAAAAATTGATAATAGATCCAACACCCATTGAAAGTAGTAAACACGGGACATTTGGATTTAGAACAATTAATATATAATATATAAACATCAATGATTTATTACAACACTTTACCAGAGAATGTAAAAATACATTTATTCTGTCATTCTTTTTATGAAATCAGAATGGAGTATATAAGTATTTAAAGTGAAAAGCTTCACAATGGAAACATTCAGAATTCCACTGGGGTTTTACCCATGACCCAAAATGATCAACAAAAACAATTTTTGATGCATCAAACTTATTTCACATTTCTTTTAGAAGACAGGACATTTTATTTCACCAACAAAAATATCACCATTCTAGCCAATTAAAATTAAGGACAGATCACAGAACAGAATAAAACTGTCATTTTATATATTTACCATATTTGTCAAACTAACTACTTTAGATCAATAATTCTATTAAATGTGTTCAAGATCATCTTCATAAGACTGATAAAGTATATATCAAGGAATTTATTAGCTTTCAAAACATGCAAGCCTGCAATAAAATCATGTTGCACATTTATTTAAAAAATGGCAAATGCCCACAGAGGAAGAATTACTCTTTTTATATATTTTAAATGTAGGCAAGATATTTTTAAAAAGAGATGTAAAATATATAGTAAACTAATCTACATATTATACTTAAAGAAAGGGATATATTATATATATAAGTTCTTACTTCATGGTTGTAGTCCAAAATTCCTTTTAAAATTTTCTTCAGATTGCTCACCTTAGAGTGAAAGAAAAACAATTATTTAAAAAAGAATACCCTAAATTACAATTAAAACTGAAGTTTATAAGAATTCATTATAATATAAAGCAGAAGAAGATTTTTTTGTGTTTTGTGGCGGTGTTTGCCAAAAAAGCCAATAACAAAAATCTCAAAATTGTGATTCTATGCTTTTCTGATTTCTAGATACTGTTTGGTCACAGGGATACAAAAAAAAAATCATCACACATAATAGTGATAGTTTATATCTCTGAATTTGGATTAGTATTCCCAATTGTTTTATATACTAATTATTCAAATAAAAAATATTTGAATATCCCTATAAATACAAAATATATAAGGCAAAGATTCAAAATCATATATTTATTGGGATTAGCATAACTTTTCAAAATACCCTCAATTACAACATTAGTAACTGTTTCTGATGGTGGGGGAGCATCATATTTTTAGGCACATGAAAGCTATTAGATGTGCCTGAAAAGATTATTTCATTTAGGGTTTCTTTGTTCCATTTTTTAAAATGTTTCAGACCATCCTGAACAAATCCATGAAAGTGTATGATTTTTATAATTTGAAAACAACATATTAGTTCCCTTTGCTTCCAATTTTTAAACATTTCTCATTATAAACTAGAACCTACATGTGAATTTCTAATTTTTTTTTTCTAAAAAGTAATTGCAAGTATGACATTTTTGGCAAAGTGTCAAGATCAATGAAAGGGAATTCAGTATTGTAACAGCAATCGAGCAACTGAAGAAAGCAAATTTTCTGCATAAACATGAGAGATTTCAAGCAAGTTGTATTTAACCTAAACCAAAGAAAAACATGATTCCAACTTAGGATGTGGTCTTGAGTCCCAAATAATAATAAAAGAAGTCCAATTCCATCCTGATATTGGATTGAAAACAATGAATGAAGAATTTAATTTAAATAATATTTCTGTTGCTCCCTGGAGGGCATGAGATTCACTGCAATTCCATATGTCTTAGGCCTGTAATGTTAATTATTCTTGCAAATACTGCATTCTTCAAAATCCTTTAAATCAAAACTTCATTCCATTACTATTTAGTTAGCTTTTAGATTGACATTTCGTGTTTTATATGTAAGTTCTACAAACCACCTAGAATCCTGGTTTCAAGTGACAAGCAAATCCCATAAATAAGTAAGCAAGCAAGCAAACTTTGTAATGAAATAATTATGTTTTGCTCTTCTACTATGGGACGTCCCTGGAAAAAAAATCAGGAAATTCTTTCTTGTAGAAAATAAACAGACAAATGCATAAATAAGAAGTAAAATAACACACAGTCTAAAGATAAACACTTCTCAGGTAGCCTTCAATTAAATTCAGATGTCTTTTGGTCACCCAGCAGCAATATTTGTTGCAAAAATTCTGTGTCTATCTAATAAGAAAATGCCACATGAAGATCACTATTTGGTTTCATAACTTGCAGAACAGTGAAGTACAGCTGAAGAAAAATGTGTCAGCTTGTCTCAACCATATAATTATTGATGTTTGGGCCATGTTTCACAATGACTCTTAATTAAATATAGTTTCTGAAGACTTAAATGCATTAGCAGTACTAATAATTTTACATGTCCTAATTTGATGGAAAGAGTATGGGTTTTAATCTTTCTGATAGTTTTTTCCATTTTTATTGTCAAACGTGGTAGCGAATATTTCAGCATTTCCTACTGATAACAAGAGAACTTTAACTTTCCCAATAATATGATGCTGTATCTCAGAAGGACTTAAATGTTATTACATGGAAACAAGAACCATCAAGAACTTTAAATCAATCATGAATAATCACAAAACCAGATTAAACAAAAAAAAGTAATTTATGTGTATGATGATCTGCTATGGCTAAGGATCTGCCAAGAAGCAATTAAGCAAAGATTCAGCAAAAGCTTTTCAGACTTTAAAATCAATAAAGACAGAGTACTGAATGCAAATGTGCAGCACTCCCTTCCCTTTGCATGATTTCCACTAGTCAAGAGGAGTCTGGGACTTGACAAAAGCTCCCATTTTACCTCCACATCTGCAGGTAAGACTGAAAAAGACTTCAGTGGGAAGCAATTTTTGGCTTTTGCCTTCTGCAAAACTGTACTGCAAACATAAAAAGGAATAATTTAACATTTCAACCTATACTAGAGACCTTGGTCAACAACAAATATCCTGTCATTAATGTTTTTCCGTACTTAAGGCAGTTTATTTCAAATTCAGATTGAGTTTTCGGACAGAATAAAACAAGCCCTATTTGATAACACATCCCTATCTACCTTCTCATGGACAAATATGGTTAACCAACTAAGTAAATATTTGTTTTTTATCATGAGACACCAGGCTTTAAAAAGCCAGTTGATATAGAATAAATTTATTTAAGAAACAAAATGTCTCTGAAAATCAATTCCATAAGTTTGTAGAATAGGGCAGGATATTAATTATATAAATAAATAGAATATATTAAAATATGCTCCATTTGAAATTTTCAAATAATGGTACTACATGGGCGCAACAATGTTATCAGGAGGCTCAATAAGTACTATTGGTTGGGGGGGGGTTGTCGTATCGGTTATCTCCCTTCTTTTATGCAGTTTTCTTCTCCATACAAAAGCCCTGGGAGAGATTAATAAATAAAACTACTTATACCTTATGTATGCAAATGCAGATTTTTCACAATTAAACGAGAGTTTATCAGTGTTGTCAGACGTGAACAACCAGACTCATATGTGTAGACTATAAACCAGCTACTTTAATGCTGAAGTCTATTTCACAGCAATTTTCTCAGACAGGCAGTTTGTCCCTGGGAAAGACTAGAGAAGGTTCAATGGCAATCAAGGGGTGGGGTGGGGTTGGACCTTGCCTCTTTCATCTACTTAATAATTTCAGACTGCTCCCCTGCTTGACCCCACCTCTTGATTGGGACAGTCTCTCTTTGACAATGTGAAGTCATTTAGATAATTGTTTCAGTACAATTGATGTCTTATATGTCATTTTTCCTATTCATTTTCATTGGATACCAGTATACCATAGTCCCTCCAACCCAGACTAGATAAAGCAAAATGAACTGGGTTAAAATCCCACAAGAAAAAAAATATTTTTATAAGAAAATGCTATATACATGACATGAAGTAGTATGGGTTTAAACTAGAAGCTTCAAATAATTGACTTAATAAGAGTTATTAAATATTTAATAAAGCTTAGAATTGAATCGACATTTTACTGTTTTTAAATAGAGTCCTAACTTGAATCTTGCAGAATTGTATGCAAAACAAAACAGTTGTAGTAAGTTGACCAAAAAAACAATGCAATAGTTAAGCAATAAAAATACCTTCAATCTCCAATTGTCTCCTACTTCTCTTTTTATTCTATTTAGCCAATTTTCATCAAAATATGTTGGATCTCTGAAAAAAACAAAAGCAGAATATTCTGTTAAAAGTATTTTCTTTCAAACTCTCTCTCTTACAAACACACACACACACACGCGCGCGCATGCATATAATACCATGTCTGCTTATACAAAATTACAAGTTTATCAACTAAAAATCCTATAATTATGATATTTAAAAAATGGCTTTTACACTATATTTCATGGCAATTAAGATTATTTGGAAACGGTTTCCAGAAATTTGAATAGCAATGACTTAAAAATATTTTCATACAACATGAAGCACAAAATATTCACATTAAATATAAATGTGTACATTTTATTATCCCACCTTTTTATATTCCAAAACATTTGATAAATTAAGAATATTTTTATTTTCTATACCAAATTATATAAATCATTCACAGATTTATAGTTATTTAAGTCCTACCTATAATCCTATTCCTATCCAGCTAGCTATTCAAGTTATCTTCAACATTTAATTGATAATATCAGAGTTTAAATTTCTAATCCAAATCTATTTATTATACACTTGTAGAATTCAAATAATAAATCACCAGAAGCAGTCTGTAATTCTCTTTGAAAATTATTTATTTACAAAAGTTTATATTTAACAAAAGCATCAACCAGAATTCACAATTTCCCATAAATCATGGTTCACCAAAACCAGACCTATTACTTTTGACATTTTATACACAAACATAAAATAACAATTCCAGATATGAGAAAATATGATACATCCCTGTTAATTTAGTATTTGAATTTTTCAGTAATTCATTCAAGAAGAGTAATTGACCATACTTTAGCAAACTATTTTTGAATTGTTATCAATAAAATTCCACTGCTGAGTTATTATTGGATGAAACTAAAATATAACAAGTTCCTTATTATATAATTTAATAGTATATTTCATTTCCTTGTTATATAATTTATCTTAACATGACACATCTTTTTACAAAATAACATTCTTTACTCACACCTGAGGTCTACTTTTAGCATATAGAAAAACTCATGCACCCTACTTTAAGAGCTTGCTTTTGAACAAGTCACTTCTCTGACTGAAAAGTGGAAAAACCGGTTTAACTCTTCATATAGAAGTGTCCCAAGCTATCTTTTCTGTACATAGGTTCTTATAGGTCAAAGGATTCTATTTATACCATTATGCCTTGGCACACAATTTAAGAATTGCTGATATAGCACATTTTTTCAGTATGCCTTTCTACACCTGAAAAAGCTATTTCATCCTGCTATTTAATTAACAAGTTGAAACGTTAGTTTTAGAAGCATGGGTCGAACTGACATTCCCCTAGACCAGGGGTGTCAAACTCACGTTGTTACGGCAACGTGATGTATCGGGATTTTTTCCCCTTTGCTAAACTGGGCACGGGCACGGCCAGCATATGACACAACCGGCCCATGGGCCGGGAATTTGACAGCCCTGCCCTAGACATTTTTTTAAGTTATTACATTCACAGTTTCCATACAAACACATGTATTTAAATGCATATTTGTAAAAACACATTTCACTGCACTCACATTTCCCCAATAACACGTGATCCTTTAATCAATATTACTAGCAGAGGTAGAACATGATTATATTCCATTAAGAAATATAATCGTGTGCTCATACCGTGTTTCTCACATAATAAGGCCGGGCCTTATTTTTTTTTGACCCCCGAAAAACCGGCTAGGCCGTCTTTTCGGGGGTGACTTAATTTCCCCCCCCCCTTGCATCCTCGGGTGGGCGGGCGGCGACAGCTTGGATGTTGGGGAGACCTTCCACCACCGTTAATTTCCCTTCTCCCTTGCTACCGTAGCGTTACAAGTCAGGACCTTGCATTGAAGCAGCCCGGGGGGCACGTAGCCACCTCCCTCCAGCCAACCTTGAGGATTTGCCTTTTGTTGTTGGTATACTTGGCTTCAGGCGCTCCTGTGGCCGCCTTCCCTTTGCCTTCGAAGGTAAAGTGAATTATTTTAAAAACCTCCGCTCATCCCGCCAGGGCCGCGGCAGAGCCGTACAGGCTGGGCAGAACCAGGAAACACCCGCGATTTGCTTTCCCGGCTCTGCTCAGCTCGCACGGCCCTGATAGGATGAGCGGAGGTTTTTAAAATAATTCACTTTACCATCGAAGGCAAAGGGAAGGCGGCCACAGGAGCGCCTGAAGCCAAGTGTCTCCTCAGGGCTCCGGTTGCAGGGAGGAGCCCTGACTGGCTGCACGTGGCTGCGCCAAACGCCGCGGCGTTGCTGTAACGCTACGGCAGCAAGGGAGAAGGGAAATTAACGGTGGCGGAAGGTCTCCCGATATGAAGTGCTCCACCAACGCAGGCAGCACCATATCCAGGCATGCAACAAAGTACTTCCTAACGGCAAGCCCCCCCCGCCATTCCCCCCCATTTCGCATGTTTAATATGGGCCTTAATTTGGGGGGAGGGGCTTAATTTGATTTTATGCCAATAAATCATGCTGGGGCTTCCTATTGGTGGAGGCCGTATTGTTGGAGAAACACGGTAGAATTTGATATAACAAAGATTATTGAGGTTATATCTATTGGAATGGCTAGGTTCACATATGCTAAACAATGATTTATTTCAATCATGGTTGTTGGAATAACACCAATGAGTGAGCTAATTTATTATACTACATAATAAACAATGTATGACAATCACTGCTCTGTCTGACTTGCCATACTTAAAAATCTCTTATGAATTGCTAAGAAAACTCTATACCCTACCTTCCTTAACTCAGGGCCCTGGGAAACAACCCTTTTCAAATATATAATCTGCCAGTTCCTTGTTCATCTCATTTACTTAAGCAAACTTTGATAATAATTGCTAAATTAGTGGTTTTACCTCTAATTCCCAGTGTATTGCTGTTTGCTGGTCAGAAGAAAGACAACCGTCAGTCAAAATAATCCAATTTTAGGAACATAAAATCTAATAATATATCCTTTATTCTCACTGTTCCTGCAGTTCCTATCTCTCTCTGGGAGCAGCTAACACCAGGTGATGCTGTTACATATGTGTGATAGCGTCCTTTCTCTCAGTATGTAACTTGACTTTCTTCAACGTTATGTATACCTGTGAGGCCCATTATTTTCCTTGCTACTCTCTTTTTATCTTCTGTTAAGTAAAATTTTAAGTTAAGTAAAAGTTTTACATGTTAGGATCATCTGACACAGATTAGAGCCTTACATGAAAAGATGCCAGATGTTCAAGGATGGCTTCAGAAAAGGCCAAGGAACATGAGACATTAGTGCTGATGCATGCTGGGTAAATGAGAAAGCCAAATAATACCAACAAGATGTCAGTATGTATTCATTGTTTGTTGAAAGCTTTCAATTGTATCATTTATGTCTAGCTGTAGAATGTGCTTGGAAAAATAGAAATCTCGGGACATCTTGCCATTCTCACATGAAGCCTATAGACAGGCAGAAAGCCACAGTTCAGACAGAACACGGTGAAAAGGACAAAGAGACAAGGCTGCTTGCACTCCTCTTATTTATTCAATTTATATGTGGAATCTGTCTGTCTGTCTGTCTGTCTATTTCAGCAATAGAGGCAAAAGTATATTTTACACTGTCTCCAACATACTAAGTCATAATAAATACTACTCTGGAAAAATAGCAGTGTAGATATTTTATTAAACAAACATTCATTGCCAATGTTTTGCCATTTTCTAATTACAGCATAATTTAGTGAACATGCAGATCTATTTTTATTGTTTAATACATATTTTTCTGCCTCTTGCATTTCCCATCTTAGAATATGGGTTTGGGGTTCCTCTTTTTTACTATGGAAGCTACTATACAAGATACATATTTATTCCATTGGATATAAGTCTGTTAGTATTTAAAATAATTTATTTAACACTGAATTAACTGAAAATGTTGTATTGGATAACCAAATGTAACACGCATACCCCATAAAGGAAACTTTGATGGAACATGTTTACCTTCAATATTACATTCTCAGGGGATAAAAAAAAACACCCTGTCATTTTGTAGAAATGACTAGCCTTCTTTCATATTAATATGATAATTCAGCAAATATTAATCTTTTTACAACAGTCTCATTAAATTTCTTCCTAAATTATATTTCTCTTATCTGCATATTTGTATTTTCTATAGTTAACAAAAGTTTGAGATCTTAACTAGCTTGTTTGTTAATTCAATGAATTCAATTCTTACTCTCTTAAAAAATCATTGCTCAATTGTAAGAAAACTAGAGGTAATAATATGAAATAGAAAACTGACACTATTTTTCTGATGCAGAAAACTGAATATGAATAAACCATTTATTTATAAAAAAAATAATCTTACATCTTTTGAAGTACTTGAGCCATCACAACTCCATTCGTTAAATCTTCTACAGTCTGGCATGGTGCTTCAATATTAAATGTCTGGATCTGAAGAGAAAGAAGGTCATATTTAGTCAGGCTAACTCAAATGTATTACACCAGCACATCATGAGATTTCAGAAGTTGTACAAAGCTACAAAGTTGTACAAAGAGCTGCTGGAAGAAGTGACAAAAATAAACGGGTTAAACCAAAGAAATAAATACAAGATCTTGATTATTATTGGTATTATAAATAATGAATGGGTGAATTTATTTTTGTAAACTTGAAAGACTCTATTTTACCATCACATCTGTAAGAAAGCAATTCTTTCTTTGCCCTTTAATTAGCTTCAATGGATTAAATACAGTAATGTGTGTAAAAGCAACATTTGAAAATATTTATTCATATACTACCTTCAAAACCCACTAATACCTGAAAAGGGTATATAAACATGATGATTAGTTATAAATCTTCTCTAAGAAATGAAGCTCAATTCAAAGGAGACTTTTGCCAATTTTTTGCTATAAGGATTCCACCAGGGTAGTATCTGCTTTGAAATTACTGAAGTGTTAACTGATTCTTCCCCAAAGAAAGAAAATCTGCATAATAATATGCATAAAAATATCTGCATAATAATAAAGCAGTAGCTGTGTGTAGCAATTCAATGTTTTTTCAGAAGCAACATGGAGTTTGGCCTCTCCTATCTTAAAAAAAAGATAGGGGGAAGGGAACAAGAGAGGACAGGCTATTCTCTTCTTCCTATATTCTATGCCAAAAAGAGAAAACACATTCTACAAAATAGTCTGGAAGAGGATGAAAGAAGCTAAAAACCAATGGCAGCATACTTAGCTTCCCCTCCAAAAATGAAAGTCCCACCCTCTAATGAACCAGCTCTCCATTTTACTAGATTTTAATAGATTTTTTTTGCCATTCAATGTACTTCTAGTTCTATTCTTGATCCTGAATTGCAAATGAAGAAACAACTAGAATATTTTAAAAAGGTCTGCTTCCTTTTATTAAGCAGATGTTAAGAAATTTGTCTAGTAACTCATAAAAATGGAGGCACTGCAGCACCTCTGATTTGTTCTTCAATAACTTCTGACTTATAAAGCTGAGTATAAAACAGAAAAAAAGTTAATAATAATTGACAGTGTTATTAATAATTTTAAGCCAGTCACTCTCTCTCAGCTCAACCTATTTCACAAGGTTGCTGTTATGAGGAAATAGAAAGACCAAATATTATGTATGTATGTAGACTTGAGTTGTAAAAAATTAAGATGGGATAAAGTTAATAAACAAGCAAATAAATGGTCAGATATTGCAGCTAGGCTTATCTTAGAACTATGGTATCTATCCAGTTGACTAAAGTTCAAGAGACTAGAGAAATAAGTTGAGAAGAAGTCTGATGCAGAATTGGGAAAAATAATGAACTTGTGTTATGATGAAATCAACATACATCCATTAAGTGGAATTCCAATACATAAGCTATAGGGGATATAAACTTGGTAAGGTGTACAGTGGTGTTTAAAAGTTAACATTCTGAATGTTCAATATTTCTACATAAATATGACGTAGAACACTATCTGTTCTCCACACAAATCCTAAAAGTAGATAAAGGGAACACAATGTCAACAATATTATACTTGTTCATTTATTCATTGAGGAAAATTATCCAAAGTTATGTCCAGCAAATGTATATAAACCTTTGCTTTCAAGTAACTGATATATATCCCTCTTGGGCAGCAATATCAGCTATGTTTCTGATAACTTTGATCAGCTCTTCACGTTATCTTTGAGAAATTTTAGCCCATTCTTCTTTAGAGAAAATTTCAACTCGGGGATGTTGGCAGGCTTCCTTGTATAGAAAACAGATGTTAGATTACATTCATGCAAAAATATTGAAAATTCCAAAGTTCATAAATGTTTAAGAACCTTTTTATGTGCGCAGGTGTATATATGTCGCAAACCAACACAAGAATTAAACTTGATTACAACCCTCAGCCATTTGATTGACTTCCATATATTTTAAAAAAATATTCAAAATATCTATATAGAGCATCTTCATGGGCCTAAGAAAATAAATGATTCAATATAATCCCCAGAAGAATTAGATACCAATATTAAAACATATCCTTCTGGATTATAAATCCTCAACCTACAACCACACTTGACCCTAAAATTTTTGTTTCTAAACGAGACATTTGTTAAGTGAGTTTTGCCCCACTGTACAACCTTTCATGCCACCGTTAAGTGAATCACTGCAGTCATTAAGTTACTAATACAGTTGTTAAGTTAACCTGGCTTCCCCACTGACTTTGCTTGTCAGAAAGTGACAAAAGTGATTACATCTAATGGAGACACTGCAACCATCATAAATATGAACCAGTTGTCAAGCATCCAAAGTTTGATCATGTGACCACGTGATGATGCAAGTGGTAAGTGTGAAAAACTGACACTTTTTTCAGTGCCGTTGTAACTTCAAATGGTCGCTAAATGCACGGCTGTAAGTTGAGGTCTACCTGCAATTATTTTTTGTTTAACTATGAAATTTAAATATCTTTGGATCAAAATACAGTAACCATACCTCTAACAATTCTGAATTGCTAATACTATATACAATCGCATGAAAACATTTAGACAGCCCTAGTCTAATTGTATGTTTCAAGGAATTCTTAAGTGAAGAAACGCTGACACAACCTGCATGTGGTACTTAATTAAACAGATCTTTCTGAAAATGTGAATATACTTGACATACACAATTGTTCTCAGCACATACCACTAAAAATAACTTCTTTTAATAGAAACAGGAATATCTTTGTATAATGGCACATTAAAGTATAAACAGTGATATGCTAGCAAATTTACTTAAAAGGCAATGTTTCCACATTGAAATTTCCCACCCCCGGAGACCAAAAATATTCAATCAAAATCCTTTAAAAAAAACAAAAAACAGGAAGTTAACACCCTGAAAAAAAAGGAGAAACATTTTTAGCTTGCTTATGTTCACTTAAAATACTAAATGGTTTTATTTGGAAATATTTTAACTGAACAAGCCCGTTGTCCTACTCCCCACTTAAGCCACTCTAACCAGTTTTTGCAATGTTCACAAACAGGTTAGGACATTTGGATGGACATGAGAAGTTTTCTAAACATCTCAACTACAGGTTTAATATATTTCTTCCGGTTTGGGTCTCTTCAGCGACAGACCGAAATCCACAATCGTGCGCGGTTTCGATCTGTACTAGCCACTGGAGCGCCCTGATCCTTTCGATTTGGGGCTGAAGCCACCCCGTAGAGGTGGTGAAGAGGGGGGAGATTGCTAGCCGAGTGGAGGGGAGCCGCATCTCTCCTCCTTGGCTGGTGTAAACTCCCTTCCCTGAAGGCGGTTGCAGTGGTGGTCAGAAATGGCCACCTCAAAGAAGAACCCAACTGGATAAGATTGTGCAGGAGGAAGACAAAGAGGAAAGCAGGACAGACCGGGCTAAGCAACAAAGAACATCTAAGCAAGGTACCCTGAATCTAAAAGTACTTAGAGGGATACTTCTGAAAGAAGATCTTTAAGAGGCGAAGGAGAGAGAAAAGGAGGTTAAAAACCCTTTTTTTACCTTTATATTGACAATTACAAATGGTATGGAAAGAAATTTATATTAATCTATTTTGACACTAATAGGCAACCTTAAGCTGAAATCTAAGTGTCAAAAGGAGAATAAATATTTTTTCTTGGTCATTTTAAAGCCCTAAAAAGGAGAAGAGTGGAGCCAAAAGGGTGGGACTCGGAATAATGGAAAAATGGAGTGCCACCTGAAAAAATAAACAGTATTAACAGTGAAACTTTGAAAAGACTCCCAAGGATACATTGTAACTGAAATTTATAAGATAAAACTGTATGACTATCCAATGGTATGCTTATTCACAGTTAAGTAATAATGAAGGAGGGAGGGAAACATTTCAATTGTTCTCAAAGATTGATAGATATTGAAAAGAAACGTGAAAGATTTACAAGTTTCATACCAGTACTAGAATGATTTTGAATAACTATTTTGTTTACGTGTGTGTGTGTGTGTGTATATATATATAGTTTTTGCTATGTTTTTAGAATTTTTCTTTTTACATTTTCAAGGGGAAGTACCAAGGAGAGTCTGAATGATGAGATCTACATGATATAAAATAGATATTAGAAATTTGAATGTTATAATTTTAGAATGCACAAATTCAATGTTTAATGAGATTTCATATGATAATAACAATAAGATTTAAAGGTGTTGCACTTCGATTGGCAATCATAGAGGGAATTTTGCTTCTTAAGAATGTTGGAAGAGAACATATGGAATTGTAAACAAGACAGACGAAAGTATAAGTACAGTGAATAAAAAGATGTAGAAATTTAGGTAAAAGAAATACAATTGAATAAAAAGAAAATGAGATAACCATAAAAGAAAATTAAGAGAAGTAAAGGGAGAAATAGTGAGAAGTTGGAAAAAGAGTAATAAGATATGAAGTTGAATACATAAGATGAATAGGAATAGGAATAGGAAATTGTGTCTGTATGGAAATGTGATAACCCGGAACGATGCTGTACTCAAATAAGATGTTTTATTTGTTTTGTTAAAACTCAATAAAACTTTATTTTAAAAAAAGAAGTTTTCTAAACATCTCAACTACAGGTTTAATATATTTTGTGGCATGTAGCTGACTTTGGTACATGTCAAATTGTAAACATCAGCCCTGCTTATTAATGGATGGCAGAATTACTTCTGAACCCCATGGTTGTAAGTTAGACTGGTAAGTCAAACTAAAAAAAAACAAACTCTTAGAAAAAGTAAATGACAAAGCACTCCTGTAACATTGCTAGAAAAACTGCAACCTGTAATTACTGTTCCATGAGTCAAACTTAGCTTAGGGGTCTTTTACTCTAAATAAGCTTTTGGTAATCTCCTGTAATTAATTATAATCCTTTTGATTAAAAATGCTGAAGTTATTTTTTATTGTAACTATCAAAACTGAGCAAAACTATTACAAAACACGATAAGGGTTTCTTTGCTGCTGCAAACTATTTTTATTTAGCAAT